ATATATAGTCAGTTTATGATATTTGTCAACAAGATTGATACACACTACAGTTTTTTTTAACACAAATACGTTTAATATACATACAACAATACAATATACAATAACAGTTATTACAAACAATGAGTTATAAACAAAAGGTTCACAAACTTAAAAGCAATATAAAGTCTTCTTCCTAGTTTGGAACTTTTTTGATACCTTATCGAAGATTCACGATGAGTGAGTTGATTACGAGTTGATATAGGTACAATTCACATAGTAGGGAGCTAACTAGCCCTGTAGTTCTCGCTGATCACACGCCGATTACAGGTCGAGTTTCACCAATGATATGAGGTAATGTTTTCGTAAAAGTACTAATATCTGATATGATTCCACTAAAGTTGAATGATTTGTAATGTTCGAAATTTATAAACGTTCCTGGTCAATATATCTGAAGTTCGCGATTAATAAGCGTTAGTCACAGTTATAGCTTAAGTAGTTTTTTAGCACACCAAGTATAGCAAACCAATAATAGACACTTTCTTTTAGCGCATCGCATTGGTTATATTTATAGGCTGCGGAGGCTTTCTAGAAAATTCAAATTACGTAACAATACAAATTTAAGCGTTTACGTACACACATATATTGTTGATTCTTACTCTCGAGAATCTTCTACAACTTTCGAGAACAGGCGGGAGTTTCGCAATACAAATTTAACAGTATAAGCTATGTATCTTTCTAAATATAAATTTAATCTAAACAAACGTTGATATTAAAATAAATATACAATAATAAATTCATTACACCACCATCTTCAGTAACTGCAGGATACTATAAAGCAAAATACGTTGTTTAAGTATTATTTAAAGTAGAAATACATTTATTTCGTTCTTTTTGTTTATTCAGCATTTATTATATTACTATAAAGGAGGGGTTCAGTGGAATACTAACAAAACTATTATAAATAAATAATAAAAATTTGCAGTATCCTGAAGTATAGTATAGAATTTAGTTACAAAGAAATATCTAAAAGTTATTGTTCACAAATACACCTTTATCCTTCAGGTAATCACAGCTGTAGGTAGGGTAGAGATCCTACTGTCATAGTGAATTAAACAAAAGGTTTGATTAGCCTATTACCTGGAGAAATATATGTTCATATCTTAAATTTTACCAAAGAACTTAGTATTTCTTATCTTTCTTATTAATATTTTTCAGGATTTCATGTTTTTCGAAAAATCCAATAATGAGTAAAATGACTGCTTTGGAATGTATTGAAGGACTCTGGATTGTGAACAAGGATCTATATATATGGAAATGTTTGATAATATAAGTTATAAAATAGGTGTTATATATATATATTTGTGTGTTAATGAGCTATACTGTATGATTTATAGTAGAATTTTGAAATTACGAGAATTTATTTTCTTGTTATCATTAGTATATATTGGTATTTTTACGATTTTTCATATTCACTTATCACTTAACCTAATTGTGAACAAAATCAACGTACTCTTATGAAAACCCATTTAACTTTTTCTAATAAAAGTCGTAACTGAGTTTGCAGATAACTCAATACATTTAAAGGTAGACGCCATATAGACATTGTTAGAGCCATTTTTAACGTCATGGCGCAAATAACTTTATAAGTGAGCAAACAGACTATCCTCGACTTTTCAGCAGTTTCTATTCTATTCAGAAGTTCAATGTCAATGTTATGCATCATTTTAGAAATGTGGATTATTATTTACAGTAAAAATATCAATATTAATGTCATAGAGAATATTATTCTCGTATATCTCCTGAAAGAAAAATATATATACTTTTATAAGTTTATATATATGAAAATATTAAATACTTTACACACACACACACACATGTATATATATACGTTACTGGCTCCTTTAGATGGATAGAATAACACACGTTTTGTGCCTTGTAGTGTAGATAAAGTGTACTCTGTTACTTTATAATTATTATTAGCAACTTAGAGTTTTTAAGTAATTATAAGTCTTACCTATTTTAGTATTTTATTGAAGTAACGTATAGACAAATTATATTTTTTTATTTTGATTTTATAACTTACAACGATTAACCACATAAAAGTATACACTTTTGATTCAAGCGTAACGTTTTCTGAAATAAGACTTTTTGAATTTTATTTTCTGTTGTTATATTTTAAATGTCATCAGAGCTATTGTAGCTTAATGTCTTTACAAGTTCATTTGGGCCCGGCATGGCCAGGTGGTTACAGCGCTTGACTCGCAATCTGAGGGTGGCGGGTTCCGAATCCCACCAAACATGCTTGCCTTTTCAGGCGTGAGGGCGTTATAAAGTGACGGCCAATCCCACTATTCGTTGGTAAAAGAGTAGCTGCCTTCCTTCAGTGTTTCACTGCTAAATTAGGGACGGCTAGTGGAGATAGCCCTTGTGTAAAAAACAAACAAATATTGTAGCTTAATGTCTTTATAATTTCATTCTCTGAAGTCAAAGTATTAGTTATATTTTTCATACAGTTCTGATTGTTAACTTGCAATGTTGATAAGTTATTATTTTCAAATTATAAATATTTGATGTTTTTCGATAACATCATGCAGAATAAGCTGTGAAATATACTTGGTAGATATAAGTTAAAACTAAAATTTGTCTGACCATTGCGACGAAATTCTCTCACAGTTTGAATTTTCCTATTTCCATTCAACAATTCACAGAGTACATACATATAGTATATAATTATTTTGTGAATAAGTATAGTTTCCACTGTTCTTAGTGCCTTGTATGTAGTAAAAACATATATATGTTACTCAATTGCCAAAAATTGTAAAAAAAAATCCCAAAATACCAGCAAGATTTGTCTAAGAGATTATCATTATTTTGAAGTAAAACCAAATCTTAAATATAATGTAAAGATTTTACCAAAAAGCAAAATTACTTGTCTTATTAGTCACGTATTTAACAATCTGATGTTGCAAAGTTGTATTAAAAATATCTAACCATTCTTAGTGATTAGTATTGATGTCCACTAGCTTTACAACAGTTCATGTCTCATATTAGAATAACCCCAAGTTTTACAACAATGTAATATATTTTATTTTAGAATAAAATACATTTGGTGCAATTTGTGATTTTCATTATTTTGAAGCTTTTCTAAATGTTTTTGTAAATCACCCAAAGGCTATCGAACAGTAATAATTTTTTATTAACTCATCTTTTACAGAAATATCGTATCATATGATACTGATGTTATTCTCAGCTACCATTTTAAATAGCCTGTGAATACAATTTTATCTGTGTAATAATACATATGGCAAACGGAAGTTGCAGAATATAAAAGAAAAGAAAGGTTTAAAATGTTCGTTTCTAAAGCAATCGAATAGTTTAAGGTGTTACACACACAGAAAACAAAAGTGAGAAAGCATTCAAAGACATTCACATTGGTTTACCGCTGCTCTTACTTACGAATAATGTTTATTTCATTAAATTATTGTGAACATTTAAAGTGAAAATTTGTAAGTATGTGTTTAGCTTCTTTGTTTCTCGTTTTAGTATATATTCTTTACGTTACAAAAGTGAAAAAAAATCATTTACTATATTTACTCGCTATCGGAAATGCAAGATCATTGCCCTTAAATAGTTTTCATTTACAATATTACATTAGAAAAATATAATATAAAAGACACGAAAATGTGATACAGGGAATGATAAATATTTTTCCTTCTGATATTCACGCAAAGCTACATAACGGTTACCTTCTCTAGCCATCCTTAATTTTGAACTGGTTTACTTGAAGGATGGCACCTAGTCAATAGCACCCATCATCAATTCTTCGGCGCTACACTAATCGGGTAGTGGTATTATAAAGCCACCATTCTAACACAACTACGATCCTAAAAGTGCTGAACCCGATTTTGCAGTAGTGGTGCACAAACCTTAGACCTTCAGATTCACAGTCTAGCGCACTAAACACTAGAGCACGCCCAGCCCTAAAATAAAAACCAAAGAGAGGAAACATCTATGGGAAGAGACAGAATAGAATCAATCCTACTAAAAATAAACATATTTGAGATTTTTTGCTTCTAGGAAAAACGATTCAATGAAAGAATATCTCAGTGATGATGTCCTCCATAGTAATATATATGTTTCTGAAAAAGAAGCGACAACTCTGAAAAAGGTTATGATTTCCCGAATAATAACTGTAGAAGAGCAGTAGCTACAATATATATATATATATAGATAAGTGGTTTCTTATCACATTATCCTCTTGTTTCACAAGTATTTCGAGGCCCCAGCTTATGATATTGAAATGATGTAAGCAGAAAAACTGGGATCTAGTATCAGAGAGAAGCAAAATGGTTTGTATAAAAATGATTGCCTAGTAATAGAAAAAAAATCCTTTTAGTTTTGTAAACCTAATGAAAATGATTCGAGATAAATTTGCTGAACTGGAAAACGTTCAAATGGCTGTTAGAAAAAATGAATAAATAAAATAAGAATGATGTACACTAATTCTAAGTTTCGACTACTGAAGATACACACAAGTAAGTAAGCCTATTGATTAGCATACCTGGGTGCAAATTGAAAAGTCTAAGGTTTGAGCGAGTCTAGCACGACCTGATGCTTAGGGTACTTGAAGATACACACAAGTAAGTAAGCCTATTGATTAGCATACCTGGGTGCAAATTGAAAAGTCTAAGGTTTGAGCGAGTCTAGCATGACCTGATGGTTAGGGCACTTGAAGATACACACAAGTAAGTAAGCCTATTGATTAGCATACCTGGGTGCAAATTGAAAAGTCTAAGGTTTGAGCGAGTCTAGCATGACCTGATGGTTAGGGCACTTGACTCACAATCTGCGGGTCTCGGGTTCAAATCCCAGTCGCTAAACATGCTCGCCCTTTCAGCCGTGGGAGCGTTGTAAAGTGACAGTCAATCCCAATATTCATTGAAACAAGAATAACAGAAGAGTTGGTGGTGCCTTCTCTCTAGTCTTTCACTGCTAAATTAGAGAAGGCTACCTGCAGAGGAGATGGTCGCCACATCGATGAAGTATCAGAATCTATGGTGCCCCAATTGTTGTAAGCGGTCTCGGGACTAAAAAGAAAAAAAAGGTTTTAGTCGCAAGATACTACTGACCACGCTGTGGATTTTTTGAAAGCACGTAAAATGTGAGAAGTTAACTTAGTCATAGGTTTTAGTGAAGATGCTTAATCTGAGTTAACAAAGATCAAGAACGAAAACCACGAGATTCCCACTGTCCCTATCTACTATCTAGCGAAACCACAGCCAAGGGAACGGGCTTTGAAAAATCAGCGGGGAATGGATTAACGAGATTCCCACTGTCCCTATCTACTATCTAGCGAAACCACAGCCAATGGAACGGCATTGAATCAGGGTCCACGTTCCACGCTGATTTTTCCAAGCCCGTTCCCATAGCTGTGGTTTCGCTAGATTTTTCAAAGCCAGTTCCCTTGGCTGTGGTTTCGCTGATTTTTCCAAGCACGTTCCCTTGGCTGTGGTTTCGCTAGATAGTAGATAGATACTAGTTGTGTAGATTCTTTAAACTTACATTTAGTATTATAAGAAATACAGTTAGTAAAATAACTACAAAAAAGAATAGCGTAATGTTTCGGATATTCCTGGGGTACACAATATGAAAATTAAAAATTTTGTGTATTAATTTTACTTATGTATAACATTGTGGTTAATATTATTATTTTAAACCAATCATCAAACAAAATTACTTCAAAAAAGATTAATTAATAAAACTTTTGTGTTGAATCACAAATAAATTAAAACACGGATAAATTGAACGACTCATTTATTACCACTACTGTATTATTTTTATAAATGTTCGAGGAGTGGGTAGAAAAGTTCTAAATACTTGTCATTTGTGGGTGAATACGTATTTCCCCTCGAAGTACATGTAACAGAAGAATAGGGTGTGTTACTGTTTGTCATGATTATAATTTTAGTGCACATTAACAGCAATAAAGCGAAGAAAACCAAGTCTTAATTATTACATACTGTTGAAAAAAAAGATGTGGTAACATAGCCGATTTTATTTTTTGATATTCGTACCTTGTTTTTTTATTGTTTATTGTACACAGGGTGGTTGTTAAAAATTTAGATTTATTGTTTGTAAAATTAATATGATATTAGTATATATTCTATTATAATAAAACAGTTTGGTTTCTAAAGATATTTTGAACTTTGTTAGTTAGCTTGACCAATCATTTATATACTAACTCAAACTCAAAATTTATGTTTCCATGTTTGACTGAAACATTCAGATCTGAGTTAACTTTGGTCATTACACTGTCGTAGTTTAGTTTCTTACCATATTTGATCAAAATCGTCAGTTAATCATAGAGTTGAGATGAAATAAATTTCTAATAAACTTACTTTAAAAAGAAACAATCTCAAATACATATATTTTGATAAGTTGTTGTAGTTGTTTGTTATTAAACACAAAGCTACACAAAGGGCTATCTGTGCTCTGCCCACCACGGGTATTATAGCGTTGTAAGTTCGCAGACATACCACTGTGCCACTGGGGGCTATTTTGATAAGAAACTATACTTGGGGTCTTAATGGCCCAATTTATTTTCCATAATGATTTATTTCACACTTCGTGGGTGCGTCAACAGGTGGCAAGATATATTATTTCACACTTCGTGGGTGCGTCAACAGGTGGCAAGATATATTATTTCACACTTCTTGGGTACGTCAGCAGGTGGCAAGATATATTATTTCACACTTCGTGGGTACGTCAACAGGTGGCAAGATATATTATTCAACAAAGTCATAAACATAGCCTGCAAAACATACCTTGAAAATAGCAATGCATTAACGGAAATGTGTAACATACGTATGCTTGCGAAAAGCCCATCCAGTAAACATCTATAAACACAATCCATGTAGGTGTAACATATGTATGCATGCGAAGAGCCCATCCAGTAAACATCTATAAACACAATCCATGTGATGTGGGGAAAGTCATAAGAAATGTAGATATTTTACAAATGTTACGTGTTTGTGATATTACGAATTATGCTGTTCAATTATCTTAAGTTTTACTTGTATTAAACATCGAAGTTTGAAATAACTTCAGGTATGCCATTGAAGGTTCAGCATAACTGTACTTTGTACATTTAGCCAATCACTTAATCTATATAAATAAAAGTCAGTATGTGTGGATGTATCTGTTCCTTATACGTTTCCATATTTCTTCATCAATCTGCACCAAATACTCTCTATAGCTGAACAATCACACATGAGTATTTCTTTAATGTTGAAGCTACTCGAGAGCTATCTGCGCTAGACGTCCTTAATTTTGATGTGACAGATTAGAGGGAAGGCAGCTGGCCAGTACCACCCAACGTCAACTTTTGGGCTACTCTTCACTAACGAGTAGTTGGATTGACCGTCACATTAAACGCCATCATGGCTAAAAGACCGAGCATGTTCTGGGATTGGATTCGAACCCGCGACTCTTAAATTGCCCACTTGAAGTGCCCTAACTACCAGGTCTGCACACACTGAATGCTAAGAATTCATAGGTACTCCATCTCTTGTCACACCATAAAGTAAAATCAATGGTTAATTCGACGTTTACTTTAGACTTTTTTTTCTTGTTTCTGAAGTTGAACTGAGCAAAAACTAAGATATTTAGTTTTCGATATTTATTAAAAAATGTTAGGATATTTTTAATACAAGTATTATCTATAGCCCGCGAGTCACTGGGGAAGGTATTCTTCAGTCTGGCCCCAAAATGTTTGAGGATGTTTTAGGGATGAAAAATATCGGATATTGGGAATATCTTGATCTTAGGTGCACATTCGGCACCGTTTTTTCGTAAATCGGCAAACAAGTCCTCACTCCAAAAATATTCGTTTGGTGGGTAGGATATGAAGAAGTTAAGCTGAATTACTTTTACATCTGCTGATATATCCACGTGTACGTAAAGTGCATGTAATACAGTTATATCTTTTACGTGTAATACAGCTATATTTCTTACTTTTATATCAGCTGATATATCCACGTGTACGTAAAGTGCATGTAATACAGCTATATTTCTTACTTTTATATCAGCTGATATATCCACGTGTACGTAAAGTGCATGTAATACAGCTATATTTCTTACTTTTATATCTGCTGATATGTCCACGTGTACCTAAAATACGTGTAATACAGCTATATTTCTTACTTTTATATCTGCTGATATGTCCACAAGTACCTAAAATACATGTAATACAGCTATATTTCTTACTTTTATATCAGCTGATATGTCCACGTGTACCTAAAATACATGTAATACAGCTATATTTCTTACTTTTATGTCTGCTGATATGTCCACAAGTCCCTAAAATACGTGTAATACAGCTATATTTCTTACTTTTATATCAGCTGATATGTCCACAAGTACCTAAAATTCATGTAATACAGCTATATTTCTTACTTTTATATCAGCTGATATGTCCACAAGTACCTAAAGTTCATGTAATACAGCTATATTTCTTACTTTTATATCAGCTGATATGTCCACAAGTACCTAAAATACATGTAATACAGCTACATTTCTAAGATAAAAAGTGATTACAGTGCCACAATGTGATGTTTTTTCGTAGAAGGTGTTCTAGCGGATGAAAATGATTAAATAAAGCATTGATATGAGAGACATTTGCTAAGTAATTCTGTAATTTTTGTTGACAACATGTTCATTCAGGCTTATAATTTGAAATATTGGAAATATAGCTAAACATATAACATTATTACATTTTTTGAAGTGTAATAATATTACAAGAGAAAAATATTTAAGTGCAACAGCTTTTTTTTTTCATTTCTGATAGCGAGTGCATAAAGTGATGATTTGTTTTTTTACTTTTGTAATGTGAAAACTATTTACTAAAACGAGAAATAAAGTTGTTACACACTCTTACAAATTTTTGCTTTAAATGTTCATAATAGATATTATAAATGTGTAATAAAAGCAATAAACTAATGTGGATGTCTTTGAATGTTCACTCATTTTTGTTTTCAGTGTGTATTAAGAAAAACACGTAACGAATCAAACTGTTCATTGCTTCATATTAAAAATTAACGTATTTAGTCGTTTTTTCGTTTATATTCTACAACTTCTATTTTCCATATGTTTTGTTACACAGGTAAAATTGTATCTTATATGCAATTTAAAATAGTAGCTGGGAATATCATCAGTGTCGAATGTTATGTTATTTTGGTAAAAAGATAGATAAGTTAATAGAAAAATATTGCTGTTTGATAACGTTTAAGTAATTTACAGAAAACATGTACGGCTGTGGTACGATATTTTGTAATGAGAATAAAGCTTCAAAATAAAGAAAATCACAAATTACACTAAATGTATTTTATTTTAAAATAAAACATTGTGCATCGTTAAGTACGTAAAACTTGAGGTTCTCCTAATATGAGACATGAAATCAAACAAGAAAGCTAGTGGACATCAATACTAATCACTAAGCATGATTTAATATTTGTAATACAACTACACAACATACATGGCTAATAAATCATGTATTTTGTAAAACCTCTACATTAAATTTAAGATTTGCTTTATTTCAAAACAATGACAATCGCTTACACAGAAGTCGTTTGTATTTTGGAACATTTAGTGTCTTAGATTTCACAATTTTTGGCAGGTGAGTAACATTTATATATTGTTACTACATAATGGGCACTAAGAACAGTAAAATATATCTATGAAGTTTTAATTCCTTTTGTCTTGACCATACAGTAACTAATTAATCCAGGTTATTGTATGGCGAAGACAAAAAGAACTAAAAACCCCATAGATATTATATGGTCTTTACCATTTTGATAGGCCTAATGGTATTTCTTTGGTTTGCTGAACCAATCTGTGCTGATGAGCCTTGAATAGGCGAAACTGCAGTCCACACCGGATGGTACAGATAGTCAAATAATGCATTAGGCCTCTACGTTACAGATTCTCTTTTCAATTTCACCTCTGGTGAAAAAGAAAATCAATCTTTAATATATATATATAATCAGTAAAAACTACACTTTTTCACAGAATTATACATATTAAATGTATCCTGTAAACTGTTGAATGGAAATGGAAAAACAACTGTGAGAGAATTTGATCGCAATGATCAGACAAGTTTTAATTTTAACTTAACTTTATATACCAAGATATTTCACAGCTTATTCTGCATGATGTTAATGAAAAAAACCAAATATTTTCAATTTGAAAATGATAACTTAGCAGTATAGCAAGATAACAATAATAAATGTTTGAGAATATAACTAATACTTTGACTTTAAAGAATAATAGGTTTCATTAGAATCAAATTATAAAGACATTAAGCTATGATAGCTCTGATGACATTAAAATATAACAACAGGAAATAAAATGTAAAGAGTCTCATCTCAGAAAAAGTTACACTTGAATCAACAGTGTATACTTTTATGTGGTTAATCATTGTAAACTATCAAATGAAAATAAATAATTATACAATCTGTCTATAAATTACTTCAATAAAATATTAAAATAGCTAAAACTATTAAACACTTTGAATTACTAATAATAATTATAAAGTAAAAAGTATACATTATCTTCACTACAAGGCACAACACGTGTGTTATTGTATTCATCTAAACCAGCCAGAAACGTTCATATATAAATAGATATGTATGTGCGTGTGTGTAAAGTATTGAATATTTTCATGTATATATAAACTTATAAGAGTATATATTTTTTCTTTCAGAAGATATACAAGAATATTATTTTCTATGACATTAATATTCACATTTTTACTGTAAATACTAATCCACAGTCAACATTTATAAATGCCCTCATTTAAATAATGCAAGACATCTACAATAAAAATGATGCATAATACTGACATTGAACTTTTGAATAGAACAGAGTACCTAACTGCATATACCATATTGCTGAAAAGTCGAGGAGAGTCTGTTTGCTCACTTATGAAGTTATTTGGGCCATGACGTTAGAAATGGCTCTAACAATGTCTACATGGATATCTTCTTAACATGGAGTCTGCCTTTAAATTTATTGAGTTATCTGCAAACCCAGTTATAACTTTTATTAGAAAAAGTTAAATGTGTTCTCATAAAAGTACGTTGATCTTGTTTAAACTGAGGTTAAGTGGTACACAAGTGAATATGAAAATTCATAAAAATACCAGATACATACTAATAATCACAAGAAAGTAAATTCACACAATTTCAACTTTCTTCTATAAATCACACAGTGAAGCTCATAGACGTATATATATAGGACCCTTGTTTTTATAATTATGACTGTGAAACATTTCCATAGGTAATAAATCCTTGTTCACGATCCAGAGCACTTCAACACATTCCAAGGCAGTCATTTTCTTCATTGTTGGATTTCTCGAAAAACATGAAATCCTGAAAAGTATTAAAAAGGAAGATAATAAATACTAAGTTCTTTGGTAAAATTTAAGATATGAACATATATATATATCTCCAGGTAATAGGCTAATGGAACCTTTTGTTTAATTCACTATAAGAATGGGATCTCTACCCTACCTACAGCTGTGGTTACCTGAAGTATAAAGGTGTATTTGTGAACAATAACGTTTAGATATTTATTTTAAACTAAATTCTATACTATACTTCAGGATACTGCAGGTTTTTATTTTAATTTAGTATTACTGCTAGTATTCCACTAAATCCCTATCCCGCAGTTACTGAAAATGGGGGGGGGGGTAATTCCTAGAATAAACAACTCTAACTCTTGTTGAATTCTAAGAATTAGTCTAAAAGTGTAGGCCAAAAGAACTTTGGCAGAACAAATTACAGAACAAGATATAATATCCTTGCTTATATGATAATGTGGTGAACATAACTCATAGCCATCAGCTGCTAGTATAACTGTATCAACTTCGTCATTAAGACACCTTGTAATATATTATTATATTCTCCATTTTTAACCAGCATAATAATCATATCAGGGCCCGGTATGGCCAGGTGGTTAAGGCACTCGACTTGCAATCTGAGGGTCGCGGGTTCGAATCCCCGTCACACCAAACATGCCCGTCCTTTCAGCCGTAGGGG